TCCCCCCAATAAAGGTTTCCTTTTTTTTGTTTTTTTTCCCCCCCCCCCCCCTGAATTCCAGCTCCTTTAGACTCCCCAGGCAATCTTCACCTGATGGATGGTAACAGATCAGCAGTCTCAGCTTGACTCCAAGATGGCAGAGCAAAGGTACATATTATAACCCTTTCTTCTCTTCCATCTTCCTCAAAATTGATTTGCAGTGTTTGAATTTTTCATTATTTTCAAGAGAAAACAGGAGTCATTCTCATCCTGATCAGTCAAGGGCACCTGAAGTGGTGGGAAGCATTTTTGGCTTTTGGATTTTTCCAAAACTTTCTGGGTAATATCTTTCCCTTTCATTAAGTCATATGATTCTCTTTTGTCATGCAAATGCTTCCTCTTCAAAGAATATTCACCCAGATTGGCTAGTGACATGTTCAGGGATTTTAATTGCATGCTGGAGTCAGCATGCATCATGTGCTGAAGAGAAGCCAAGTTGCTTCCAGATGAGGAGTGGATCCTGATGCCACTGTTTCTTCAACTTGGAAAGCTTCTTCAAAGACTTGGGAGTCTTCATTTTCCTTATCTGAAGAAACTATTAAGGTCTTCATGCACTTCATGCACTACTGGCATCCTAGGATGAAGTTCTTTCAGAATTTTCTCATTCTCTTCCAAGGTTATCACACAAATTTCAGTTGCTCCCTGCTTGCTATGCTTTTGGTAAGCTTCAAGGCAGGTCTTGCATACCTAGGGGTGTTTTTAATGGTTCAAATAGGCTTTATAATGATGAAGACAAATTGTATCATGTGATGTTCTGAAGAACCACACCTTCAGCAGTTCCTGGTAGCTCAGCCACATGGAGGATATGTTCTTCTCTCATATAAGTTCACTTGTGGCATCCATCAAATTCCAGAGAAAAAATGCACAGACTCTTCATGCTTATTGGGCTATAATATAGAAAACTGCTGATTAGAGCTACATATTGCAAATCAGGAGGACATAAGGTCTTATGGACCAAAACCAGCTGACTTCAGACAACTGAGTCGGTTAAATTGAGAACTACAAAAAAATTACTGATAAATTCTGATCATTAGCACTCATTTTTACTGTATCAACTTACTCAAATCAGGCAGTACACATTAACTACTTCAACATTTCACGCCAGAAGTGGCTTTCTGATGGTGAATAGCATTTTTGAGAACCTTGACCCCCCACATTATTTTTTAAACCAAAATGAGGGAAAATACGTTTTTCGCAATTTTGAGTCCAACTTTCCTGCATTGGGGTCATATACACTGCCTAATATTAGTCTTGACATGAACTCCTAAAGGATATCAATCAAACTTAAGAATAAAGGTGAGCCTCCAAATCCAAAATGGGGAGATCTGCTAACAAAATTTGACTTTCTTTTGCTAAAAAATAGGTATCTAAGCTATTTTTCATGGAAAACTGACAGTTAGAATTGGCTGAGGGGATATTGTCCAGTACAGGTGACTTCCTAAAAAATTATTCTTGTCAGCATTACATGATTTGCTTTAAAGTAAAACACTAATGAATAGGGGTCTAACCCAAACCTTACCATATGGATAAAAACTAATATTTTGTGTCCCAAAACTTGTTAAGTACAATTTCCAATCAGATTCATTTTCAGGAACAATATCATTACCTACACTGGCTCTCTCATGAGTAAGCATTCTTGGCACAACCACACTTGGGAGGAGAAGTCAGAAGTTTTGAAGCAATTTGGAAAGAAGCAAAATTAAGAATGTGATTTGAATATTTCAACATCAGATGTGTGGGATAAAAAGAAGTTTTGCAATAAACTTGAACAGCATGCTGTCCTGGCTGGTGTCCTACTCTTGCAGAAACAAATGCAAAGTGCACATTCAGAAGTTGCCTGAATCAAAGCAAAATTAACTTGGGGATTTCTTCTATATGAATGAGTCAACGTTTCCCCCATTCACATAGGAAAAAAGATCACTCAGGCAAGCTTTTGATAATCCAGACAAGATCACCAGTACCCTCAATTCCAGATTAATGATAGTTGATCATGTTGTGTATGTGTACATACAGGGTATGGCAAAAAAAAATCAATGACTTGCAATCTAAACATCTCCACTCACAACAAAGCTATTTTTGCAAAACATTCAATTTGCATGTTTCCAACTAATACATAAAACTTCACCCAAATTTGTTGCACCAGAATAATACTATTGGCAATTATGAAAAAGAAGTTAGATATTGAGAAAGGACAAGAGCTTCTGCTGGCAGTGGAGTGGAGGAAACACTTGAGGTGTCCTTCCTGGTGATCAAGACCACGTTGAGCTCCTCTTCTGTATAAATTCATTCATTGTGCTAGTAGTCTCTTGCAGATGGTTTCCATGAGCTTATTCCCAATGAATACCAGATGAGTCAATGAATATCAATCAAGTGAGTTTTCTCAAAGTTCATTAGGAATTTCTCTTAATTAATTATTTTAAAAAAGAAACAGTCAGTTTAAAGTGTCAGACTTTTCAAAGATATATCACTTATAACTTTGATCTGAATTAATAGATTTTTGCAGATTTGTTGACTTTCAAATATATGAACATGCTACATCAACAAATTTGGTGAAACATGGCTTAAGCAATCATGCGATACACTCAAAGATTTTGGTATTTTTTTTAATACTTCTCAGACTCAGCCAGAAAAAGGAAATTTCTGAGTGAACTCTGAGAAAACTCTGAGAAAGCTCATGAACACCATCTGCAAGAGACAATCAGCCCTACAAACAATTTTAAATGAACTGGAGCTCAAATAGGTCTGGATGAAGATGGACAATGCTCATGACTTCTTTTCACCCCAATACCAGCAGGAGCTCTTGCCCATTCTCAATATCTAACTTATTTTCAACAATTGCTGATAGTAACGTTTTGGCATAACAAATTAGGGTGAATTTTTAAATTTCACTTGGAAACATACCTATGTGCAAATTGAACGTCTCACAAAAATAGCTTTGTTGTGAGCAGAGATATTTAGGTTGAAAGTTATTGGTCTTTCTTTTTGCAAGACCCTGTATACAAGTACATATATACAGGCCATGGCATAAAAAAATACTTAATGTCCCCGCTTACAATGGAGCCATTTCTGAAAAAATTCACTATACATACATAAAACATACACTACACAGGATTACCCAAAAGAAATGCAACAAATATAAACAAGGATATTTTTCCTTCTACTTATCCAGCTGATACAAAACTTTACAAACTTAGTAAAAAATCAATAATTTTCAATGTATCTTCATTTTGCTTTAATACAAGACTTCAAGCACCTTGAAAAGTTATCCACAATGTTTCAGAGCATATCATTGTCTATATCAGCCCAGGGAGCCAGTAGGGATCTCTTGAGCGACTCCACACTTGTGCATAGATTAGAACAGGCCTTTGTCTCAAGAACACTCCAACCAGAAAAATCCAACAGGTTGAGATCTGGTGAATAAGGCAGCCATTCCTCAGCACTAATAAATCCTGGCAGGTTTGCTTGACACCAATCTTGAGTGATACTTGCCTTGTGAGATGGTGCAGAATCCTGCTGGAAAATCCAATCCTCTACAGGAAAATGGCCATTCTTAAGAATGTCATTCTGTGGGCCAATGGGCATTTCATTCACGAGAATTGTGTTTTCCAGCAGGACTCTGCACCATCTCACAAGGCGAAAACTACTCAATATTGGTGCTGAGCAAACCTGCCTGGATTTATTAGCACAGAGGAATGGCTGCCTGAGTTCTTTTTAGAATTTCCCTCAGTTTATGTCAGCCTGAGTCTGTAAGGTATGGGATGAGAGACCAATGACTTCAAGTGCACCCTAAGATTTACTACAGTTGTATCATAACAAAGCTATTGAGAATTTGGCATGTCTTCATTTATTTGAAAGTCAACAAGGCTGCTAAAATCCACCAATTCAAAACGAAGTCATGAAAAATTCTCTATGACAAGTCCAACATTTGAAATAGACGATTCCTTTTAAAAAATCATGGGAAATTCTGAATGTGCTTAGAAAAAACCTTTTGGATTGGTAATTATTAATTCATTGGTTATTCATTGGGAAGAAACTCATGAAAACTATCTGCAAGAGATGACCAGCCCGATGAATTTGAATGGAAGAGGAGTTTTGACATGGTCTTGAACAGGAAGGACAGCACTTGAGTGTTTCCTCCACTCCAGTGCCAACAGGAGCTCTTGTCTATTCTCATGTCTAGCTTCATTTGAATCATTTTTGAATTACTGCTTTGGACCAACAAAGAATTTTGAGAAAACAGTTGGAAACATACATATATATGCATAGTGAATATTTCACAAATATAGCTCCAGTGTAAGTGGAGATACTTAGGTTAAGAGTCTTTTATACTATTTTTCCCATACCCTATAAAATGCTTCAGTGCTAGATAATGGCAACTGTTTCTTCTGTCTAGTTGTGAGAGAGCAATTAATGATGTCCAAAAACTCAAAATAATCACCAAAAATTAATCCCAAACAAACCATTCATTAGTCTGAAGTTCCAGGTGAAGAATAATTTTAATACATTAAGTTTTCCAGACTCTCAATAAAAGCAATTAAAAAAATATTTTAAAAATTTTCATGAAGAACATCACAAGAAAAAATCATGAACAGCACAGCTGTGGTGGTGGCACCATATGGTTCCATCCTTCCCTATTTCTGGCCACCTCAATAGCAAGGAACTGGATGCAAGGCACAAAAATGGTATTTTCTTCAGTGTATTCCCCACTGCTGTCCAACCTTAACAGAGTGGCAAAAATGTCTTCAATGATTTCCTTGAAACCATCACAGAAACCTCTCCATTCCCCTTTTGCTGAATCATGTTTCAAGATGTCATCACTGATGAAGTCTACTTGGAGATTGGAGAATTTCTCTCTGAACTTATCACAGACTACATCATCCTGTGAACTCAAACGCTGATGTGCTGGGGCAATTGAGCACAAGATATTGAAGTGAATCACAGAATGATCTATGGCTCTCATCAGCCATAATTCTTCAATGTTGGAATCATTTATAAGATTCCTCTTTTGGTCATGATAGGGCCTCTTCAGCAGCAATGGCACCAGCTCCACATTCCTCAATCCTTCCATTCATATGAGCTCTGTTTAAGGCACATGGACCTGTCAAGGATGGAGAACCATAAGTAACTACATGATTTTTAATGTGAAGCAATTTTTAAAATCCTCTTTAGAATAAAAACTTTAAAGAAAACAAATATTCAAGCTGGAGCGTACATGAATAATGAAAGTTCACTTCACTCACTTTCTGGTCACCAAAGCTTGAGATACTTCTGCATGGGTGATGTATAATTGAAAATGAACTTATCATCTCCAGACTGTAGCCACAACAGAATTCTGCAAATTTTAAACAAAATGACACCCCTTACAACCTAGATTTAGCATTCTAGCTAGGCCACATAATGAATAAAAGAGCTGTGGGTGGTGGTTTTAACGCTCTCCAAAAAAAAAAAAATTTTTAATTCAATACCAGGCTGCTCACTCCCTCTCAGACTCCAACTCATTGACAGTTCTTTGAGTTACAGGGTGACCAGGGTTTGCTTCACCTAAGACAAATTTTTGGCTAAAGCGCCATTTCCCAGGTCAATGGAACTTCATATATTTAATGACAATTTTACTCTATATTAATGCTATGGTCATGTATTAGGATGAATCGCAACCGGTTTTACGTAATAATGGGCATAGGAGGAGTAGAGACGTCTGTAACATGCTGCGGCTTTTGGTCGCGCTGAACAGATGCAGAGCGCCATATTGCTCCAGGCCCTCTATTTACAACGAGCGGCTAAATCTTGAGACGTCACTACTGGACTCAGGATTTACCCGCTCGTTAATCAGTGAAGGCAGACAGCGATGGTGACTAGGCAGGAGGTGCAGACGTGAGTAACTCTAAATACTTCGGGAAACAATTCATAAGGGTTTACAGTTGGTCGGGCCACTCCTAGAGCAAAGTAAGTATAAGAGACTATTCTAGCAGACAGTGGCGTGCCCAGGAAATCCGAAAAGGGGAAGGTGGGGGGTTGCCATATGAAACATCGATTACCCACCCTAATGGGGTTAACATATGAAAAAACTGATAACCCACCCTGTATTTGTGGTCAAATTAAAAAATTTGTGAGAATCGAACCTGTAAAATTGACCCCAAAGGGGGGGGTTATGACCCCCAAAACCCCCCCTTGGGCACGCCACTGCTAGCAGATATTCCAAATGTCAATCATCTGAACATTCGGTTATCAGCCTAAAAGGCGGGGAGGGAGCGATGCTATCCTTGTCCCCAGATACATTGCGATGGAGGGTCTCTACTGACGTACCATACATGACCTTGAGTATATCATGCTTCAAAGTGGTCGAAAAGAAAAGCACCAAGTACTGTACTAAGACTTTCCAATCCCAAAATAGATCACGAAAGGGGTTTAACCTGAGGCTGCATTTATTTCCTCTAGTATAAGTAAAGTGACGAAGCTCAGCCTTACCTATAGTGTTACGTTAGGCTTGGTTCGGTTATGGGGAAAGGAGAAAGAGCACGACCCTGACGGAGTCCAAGACGTACCAGGAAGGAGTCCGCAGCTCATCCCGTTCATCCTCGGCAGCTCCTGCAATCCCTGTATAAGGATGACCTGCAGTAGCCGACAGTTCATGCCATACTCCTGCAGCACTCCCCACATCTTCTCTCGAAGTACACGATCCCAGTGGCGTAGCGACGGGGTGGGGGGGGGGGGGGGGGGGGGGGGGGGCGGGTGCCCCCGGGNGGGGGGGGGGGGGGGGGGGGGGGGGGGGGGGGGGGGGGGGGGGGGGGCAGGCAGGGGAGGACAGTTGCCTCCGGGCACAGGGCTGAGGGACCGAAAATAACATTTTTGTTTGGACTTTATTTAAAGTTTGCGCCCGGGGGCAACTGTCAACCCCCCCCCCCCCCCCTTGCTACGCCTCTGCACGATCCTATGCCTTTTCGAGTTACACAATGCAAACGTAAACCTCTTTGGCGTATTCCCAACGTCTCTCCAGAATCTCGAGAAGAATGAAGAGCCGGTCCGTGATGGTTCACCGCTAACGAAATCCGCACCGCTTATGCTGTCTGCTAGCTGGGGATTAATTCGTGCAAGACGGTGCATGAATGGAACCGCAAATTGTTGCGTGCGGATGCGCGTGGCTGTAGAGCTAGTCAAGTGTCTTAGCAAAGACCCACGTATAATAAACCACCCATTGATTTTTCTTACGTTTACGAAAAAGTATTGATGATGATTCGGAACACGTTGTTTCTTCCTTTACGAGCAGCACCACCAAAGTTACTGTTGGTATTGTCACCACAGAAACCAACCAACTCGATCGTGAGGTTGTTTTTGGACAAAGTGTCCGTGAGGTAGGCCGCGACGGTGTCAGAGGTTTCGTCAGTTAGGGATTTGAACTCCAAGATCTTAACCTGAACTCCTCGACTGACTTCAAAGTATCTGACAAGCACGGGGAAAAGCTTCACGTCCTTGTGGTTAGATGCGTCCGAATAAACAGTAACAAAGCTGGCCTCATCAAGAATCAGTTTTGAGTTCCTCGACGGCGAAGGGAGCCAGAACGCTCTTCACGATTGCTTCAGTTTTGGTTCTTGCAAAACTTCTTCTTTGGTCTCTTCTTTGGTTCTTGAGAAAATTTTGGTTCGAAAAATTTCTTAATGAGGGTAGAAGTGCAGTCTATGGATCGAAAGGATTGGCTGTGGCAGACAGTATGGAATGAGAAGACGCCTTCCGATGCAGCAAGCTCTGCCTCTTTGTCCCCATACGACGCGTTCGTGAAGAATTTGCTTCATGTAGATGATGACGCAGTTGCAGAAACAGCTTCCTCGTGCTTGTCTGACGCAAGATGCTTCTTTATGTCTGATCGTCCTCCATGTGCTATTGAAAAATCAGCCCTTCAGGTTTCACAATGAACCTCACTTTGTGAGCTGCTTCGTTTCAAAAACTTGAATTCTTCCTGTAGCTTTATGTTGAAACTACACTTTCTCTTTGGCATTATGTAGGTCTCGTTGAGGGCCTTGACACTTAATGCTAAGTATGTTTACCGGTATAGGCACCCCTTGGTTCGGTAATTATTAAAGCATGGTTGAAGGTAAAAATTAAGAGGCCTAAGTTAAGAACAGGCAATATAATAAGGTATCAACCTTCATCGAATAAACAGCATCAATTGTAGAAAACACTAGTGCTTTTTCTCCGCACAGAACAATAAAAATTCCTTGAAGAAACAGACAGTACGCATTCAATTGCTACTCGTGACGCAAGGTAAACAGTCTTAAATTTTTAATTAGTGGGGGGAAAAGGCATCTGAAGTAATCGAAACCTGTCCGGATTATGTCCGGAGTGAGGCGGTAATGCTAAAAAGTTCCTCCACAGAATAAAATGAACTGCTTCCTATGATCCACGTGCATGATGATGAGCGTGAAAGCGCCCTGCTGAAAAAAACCTCACTTCAAACTCATGAAGTCTCATGAGACCTCACGACTTTCTCATGAGATCTCACGACTTTCTCATGAGATCTCACGACTTTCTCATGAGGTTGACCGAATATCTCATGATTTAATCCTCATGAGGTACTTAACGAGGTCTCACGACCTTCTTATGAGAATTGTGCGGTTCCTCATGAGGCTTCGAAACGTCCTCATGAGGATCGAGGCCTCATGAGACCGCTTGTTCGAAAACCTCATGAGGATCTCATGAGGTTTCTTCTGCAGTGCACAGCCGACGCGAGATGGCGAATGTATAGCCGCTCTGATGGGATGAATGCCCTGATCTCACTGGAACATCTTCTCCTTTACTCACCAAGTTGTTTGCATTTTTATTTCTACATTGAACATAATCAAAGATATTTGATTTCCTAAAAACACTTGTCCGAAGAGATAGCCCAGTTTAGGGAGACTTCAGACAATTCTGGTCTGCAAGATGGAATGACGCATTGAGGATGACAGTTGTTAATCCGTAAATATTCTTTCGTATATGATTACTTCTCGTTTAAGGACTCGTGGAACCTTCCAAGCTGAGTCCCAATAGACTTTTCGTGGCTATTGAGCCACGAGGCAAGTGGCGCCTCTATGCGAAACCCCATGAAGTCAACCACATGAGATATATGTTTCAAACCTCATGAGGTCATTCTCATGAGGTTTCCTTTTGAGATTCTCATGAGGTTTTTTCAGCAGGGCGAGTGTGGGAGCAAGCGATTTTGGCTCTTCTATGGATGCGCAAGGAGTTACTGGGTTTAGCAAGCCAACAGATCTGCGTTCCCCTCTTCTCTCTCCTCTTTCACGTTCCCACAGTAGGATTCATGGTGGCTGGAGTATGCAGGCAACTCCGTGCCTACTCGGGAAGGAAGATCAATCACATCCTGCTTTTTATCTTGAAACTGCAGAAACAAATCCTTTTAGGCGGTCCTTATTGGAGAATAGGAGTTCATTTAACTTGAGAACTCTACTTTTGAACTGGGTAGGCACTGCCATTTCGCCGACGTTTCCCAAAAGCGGGACATTTGGGCGTCCCGCTTAGTTCATCGGGGGACAACGGGACAGGTGGCCTGAAAGTGGGACTGTCCCGCCTAAATCGGGACGTCTGGTCACCTTAACCTAGGCCCACCCGGTCTTCACTGACCAAGTACAGTGTTTTGAAAATCGATCAATGCTACCTTTTCCATCTTTGAGGAGTAGAAACCCAGTCCTTATTTTTATTGCACTTATCAATGTGAGGGTGCAATATTAGTTTCCCATGCAGTTGGGCCCAGGATCTACATGACGTGATATCTTCGACTGCCCTGTCCAGTCTAGTTATATTCACCATGTCTCTGGCCACCATAGACGGCCACCATGTTGGTTCGGTGAAGCCTTCCGTCATTGGTGGGAGGGAATTGCAAAACCGCCCCACCCGCTTGTTGTCAACTAGCTGACATTTTATAACCTCTAATGGGGTGACCTGTCAAACTCGCCATATTCCCAGTGACTCGACTCTACATCTTCTAAACATCTTGGAGTTGTTTCTAGCATAATACATCTTCGGAAGGGGAAATTTTCAGGTGTTGAAGACGTCTTGCGAAGATGTCTTGAAGGCGTCCTATTTCTTCGCGAAGACCAAATTAAGACATCTTCTAGACATACTTGTGCTATTGGGGTGTGTTTATCTCGTATTTAAACTAATCCGATGCCCCAGCTGGTGCATGTCACCATTTATCTACGTAGTCCGCGTTCGCTAGCCACGAGTCTGCCCTTAACCGTCGCGTGTCGCCACGTTCCAAGTTCCGATCGACAGAGTCCGTTGCATGAAGTCGTTAACGGCTTCCCAAGCGAAACATACATCTAAATGACGTCTCTGCGATGTTACCGCAACGTCGCGTGGACGTCACGTGTTGCTTGGGTTCGTCCTGCTCCTGATTCGCCTTGGTAAGAGGCAAGACGAGCGATCGTCTGGGTCTGGCACGACGGGGTCCGACATACCCAGAAACATCGGATTGCCTGTTCTCGGTACCCAACTCGATAGTTAATCCGGAAGCACAATGACTATTGCTCTCCCGATTATCCTATGCAACGACCGATCCGGTACGAAGCTTCTGAGCCGAATAAGCCATCTTGTTCGTTTTGCCTTACTCAACTATGATGGTAGGTCCTGGGATACTCTGGCCTTCCGAGTCGCAGCGACGTCCTCGCGTGAACCACTCGAGGATAAGGAAGAGATACAGAACTACTGGATGACGATTCTCAGTGTTACTGATTTGCATAAGCTCTCATTATCATAATTGACTGCCAATTTTAATTATTAATAGCTCAAATTAAGGCTAAAGCTCCGCAGTTTTATTGATATCAAATACATTTTACAAATTATACTGAAATTATGCTAAGATGTGTTTAAGATCCCTCCAAGGAATCTCCGTTTTGATTTCAGCATTCCCACAGATGAACAGTGATATTTAGCGCTAGTGGTTCGTCTATGGAGAAGGGGTAGGCAGGGGAGGGCGCTGTCTACCCCCTCGCCAAGGACAAACCATTAGCGCTAAATATCACGAGCCGCCACTGCTCGTTTGGTCATCGGATTAATATCCTGGGAGGGGTGGAATTATTATTATTATTATTATTGCTCCTCCCTGCGTACACATGGATAGTCTCCTTAAAAGGTGTTAAAAATGGGGTATTTCCGGTGTGGGCTTAGCGGCGGACCTCACCGAGGAGTGGAGGAGGAGCCACCCCCTACCGGACACTTGGTGCCTGTAGACTATACGAGTGAGTGGTATACATTCAATATATCCATTGTTATTGTTGCTGAACAGCCTAGTCCTTCCGAATCTCACCGGTACTTATCTAATTGGAGTCAGTCCGTATATAATAGTGCCCTTTTACGTACACGGAGAACACGCGATCTCATTCGGGTGGCCTCGCCCACACCGGAATCCCCGCAAGAAGGGTCCGGTCCGCACATTCTTCTGCATCATTTGTTACCCCGATCAGCAGTGCCCTTCCGCCCTCCGGACCCGTTAGAGTCGGAGGTTTCTTCACGTAGAGTGACACTAATAAATAAACTCAACGTGAGAGTCGCTTGGGAGGGAGAGAAGAGGGAAGATGAAGTGCTCCAGACCTCGCTGCTGCTGCGACACCAGGCAGGTTCGTAGATTACAAACTTGCTATTTCTACTCGGTTGGTGCCGGGGTGCCTAAATGCTGGTTGGAGCCGGGCTTGGGTGGATCCGGTTGGAGCCAGATTCTGTTCCTTGCTGATTGAAGCCGGGAGGAACACTTAGAAATAGCAAGGACAAATTTTGGAGAGCGGGCGTGCGGTGGGTTTGGAGCCCGAGCAACCCCTTCCAAATTCATTCTCGAGTCGTGATTTCCGTAAAATTACGAAAGCAAGCGCGAATTGTGCTGTTACGAGGGTAAGATAAATTTTTGTTTGTTTTCTTTCTCTTGCTGAGTTCTCCCAATTATATCTCAGGGACTGAAACTTTCGTATTCGCTACGCGGTACTGAGAGATTTTGCTATTTTTTCTTCTGTTCAGAACACTGTAGAACTAATTGTGCGTTGTATGCAGAATGCAAATTATCATAGTATAAACGAAATCTGTGAGAAAACCATCCGCTTTGGAATCCTTGCCTAACGGCTATTGATTCCGTATCGACCAATACGAACCTTCCCAAGGGGACAGATTTTATCTTTTTCCTTTAATTTTTCTTAATCGTGACTGTGGGGCTGTCTGCCAGTAAGCTATCAACGTACTTTTAGCACTTACGTACTACCGACCACGCCCGACGATACCGCGCGCTACACCTTTATGGGTGATTGAAGGCCATACTAAGAAGTCTTACACCAAATTTTTAATGCAAACTGGTTGAAATCTCTGCGCATTTCCAAAACCAACTACTGAAGTGGGCTTCGCGGGCCGGGACAAAATGAACGAACGGGGCCGCCAGTTTGACACTCCTCTTCTAGAGTATTAGGCTTAGGGGTGTGGGCTTAGCGGCGGACCTCACCAAGGAGTGGAGGAGGAGTCACCCCCTACCGGACACCTCCCACCTCCAAGAGACCTCCCCCGGATCGGGACAAGGGGGTGGAGGCGAGACTAGATGGACTAGACACAGAGTGGATGCGATGGTGTGACTTTGTATAGCGGTGTGTATTGTATAGGGACCTGTAAATTATTCCCGTCGTCCTCGACTTATCAACTTCCCTCCTGCCTGGTGCCTGTAGACTGTACGAGTGAGTTGTATATATTCAATATATCCATTGTTATTGTTGCTGAACAGCCTAGTCCTTCCGAATCTCACCGGTACTTCTCTAATTGGAGTCAGTCCGTATATAATAGCGCCCTCTTACGTACACGGAGAACACGCGATCCCATTCGGTGGCCTCGCCCACAGGGGTATAGACTGTCCTTTGGTTTGGGTCTGGAGAATACGTGGTTCATGCAGGACGGAGCTACAACTAACTGCAAATAGCGTGCTTGAGACGCTCGCTTACCATTTTAAAGACCGCGTAATCTCTCTTCGAACACCAAATGAATGGCCTGCCCGCAGTCCCGATTTGAATCCTAGTGATTATTTCTTGTGGGGTCATCTCAAGGACAGAGTCTATACCCCTAAGCCCTAAGTCTTCTCTGATATAAAGTGACAGAATGAGTTCTCTTCAATATTAGCCAATTTATTCTTCAATTTCATACATCTATTATTTACATGGCAGAAACAATTTAGGCATCTTAAAAAAATAGAAAACAAATTTGTTCCATAGGAGATTCACCACAGATACATTTTCACAGTGGCACTTTATTCACACACCAAGAACGTAACAGGCATGATGACATGATTATATGCAAACATAGTTCTCTTAAAATGTCATACATAAAATATGATTGAAGAGTATATTCTACCCAGATTGCAGCAAAGGCATGCAATACTTAAAATTTCTTGATTTCATGGCCTTCAACAGTTATTTTTGCATAAAAATTTCGAACAACATTATCAGTTTATGAAAAAATTAGATTCTGCTCTCAATGCAACATCAAATGATTGAACATGAATGTGCTCACAAATTGAACAATTAAGAGTATCAGCTTCAAATGCCTTCTCTCTCTATAAATATTTCCATATGTGAAAGACAAACATGGCATGCAATCTGCAGACACAAAATTCCCAACCAGCATAATAATGAATTATGCATTAAATTCATCAGTTGCATGAAAATACTGTATAACATAAGCAGAGCTTGCTCAGGCCCAGAGAGCATGAGGAGATACAGGGCATATCTTAACCTGTCAAAGCATGTGAAAGCTTGGCCTCACCTTTGTCTCAGGCCCTGCATCCGAGAAGCACAAGGGAGAGGATTGGTTCTTAGGAGTATGGCAAAAAATTTATGTATTTTGCAGTTTGGAATAGTCCCTTCTAGATCTGGACAGACCACAGGCACATTGATTGCTTGACAAGTAAAATGGGTAACTGAAATTATTCAATCAGACTAGGAGAACACAGTTTCAACCCGATCTTCGAAGTATGTATACAGTCCTACAGACAAGGCTTTGACAACCTGTTTCACACAGCATGTCAAGAGAATGGCTGACTTCTTCAATGCAATCTGATTATCACAGACAACAACAAGAACAGAGATCACAGACATTACATGAACACAGATTCAATGTGTCACAAAGGTACATGGGTGAGATTCCCTAACTGGATATGCACACACCTAGTTCTGTCTGTCCTAGAAGATAGTAAATAGCAGTTTGGTAATGGGGAAGTCATCAGGATGTCAAAAACAGATGTGACTAAGATCACTTCAATGCATTCTTGGCACAAATACCAGGATCATATGAGTTTATCAGCCTTTCAGGTCATATCTATGAAGCAATGCCCAACTTTTAATAAGTCCTTTTGCATTAGCAAAAATAACCTCAAGGAGTATTTGTCATGGTCATTGTCTCTGATAGTAAATATATTTATTATTTCAAGTACTTCTGTACTATTGTGACCAAGACAGACAAAAATAGAATACTTGAATAGTTTAAGTTGGGCAAAACTTGGAAGGAAAATGTCAGCACCACTACCCAAGGCCATTGCTTTGACTGATACAACCTATAATTGTGAAAGACAATCTCATTGATGAAAAAATCTAAAGAACTGCCAATCATTGCACTCCTGTTGAGACAAATGCAAGCCAAAAAGTTCATAGGTGTGAGTGCTTGCATCACAATGTGACAAATGTATTGAGCTGAGGCACATAAGCTAACAGTATAGTTTTACTGAATTCATTTATTTGATGTCAAGTTGCCAATGACTCAAGAATGAAGTCATGTGAAATATGGGGTTACAGAATCCAAACTTTGCAGCAAAATATGAATAGGCAGAACTCAAGTTGTTAACAGAAATCTGACAACACCCTATCTGATCATGATCAAGCATACTCCTGCAAGGACAGGGTAAAATCCAGCATATATATATTGCTGGTTTTCAAAGTGAGGAGAACTCATCCTCTTCCAGCACACACTAAATGGCAACCATGAGGTATTGTTATCAATTGCATTCCTCATAGGAGAAAATGATAGCATAAAAAAAGAGACGTGAGGATGGAAAGAAATTTGAATGCAGATGTTTACAGACACCAGGTGGCATCTTCCAGGCACTTTCCACGAAACCACTCATACATCCACTTATTTCGTGGAAGCAAGCCCTTAAGTGGTAATGGCTTGAATGCTTGGTCCTGGTGCATTGGGGCCGGAATGAGGCGACGACTACCATGGCGACTATGATGCTCTAAGTAGGCTGTTTTCAGCACTTCAATGTCTTCAACATTCAAGCACTGCCTGCAATAAGAGCATTCAGAAATGGAGCAATTGCCCTGGCATTTTGAAGAAGCACAGGCATCATGAAATGCAATGATATCCTTCAATGCTACTTGCATACTCTCCTCATCATCAGATTGGGGCAAGAGGGAATCCGTATGTACCCGTCTAGCCACACCAGCCAAACAGAGTACATTGAAGATCACTTGCTCATAGAGAAGCTTGTTTCCTGGGAAATGACCACTGGACAAGTTGGGTGACATGTTTGCCTCCATCAGAAACACATGCAAATTCTTATCTAGTACAAAGTCAAACCGCATGAGTTCAAAGAAATTTCGAAATGATGGGTAACGGGATGCTGCTTCAATGATGGCAGGTTCTTTGGCCATTATCACAGTCTGAATGGCTTCTTTGATTTGCCACCATATGGCATCTACATCATGCTTTTGACTCATCATATAAGCATTGAATGATTGTTTCATTCCAAATCCCTTACTAGTATAATATGGTTCAATAGCAGATATTTCCCATATTGGCAAGTAATCATCACGTACAACATATTTGTTAACATTATTACTGTCAAAAGGATAATATTCATCTCGACAGAATCGAAAGAGGGCATCTTCTTCAAAAGTATACACTCGGAGGGGGTTGACAGAGGTTAAGATAACATATATACCAATATCAAATTTGTGGCCATCAATGAGAAAAGGATCATCAATGTACTCTTGCACAAAGGTATCACGAGCATCTAAATTTAGATCACCTACTTTTTTTATCTGGATACCTCTGTGGTTTGAGCTTTTCTGAACAAACTCTTTTGATGGGTTCTTTTTTGCATATTCCAGAAGTTCTTCCCTTTGGTCTGGTATTTTGAATGCTTTTGGAATATACTGATTTGACAAGGTGGCTAGATTTGGTTTGTTGGTGATGAAGCCAGAGCCGGGGAAATGATTGACACGTTGATCCTTGCGAAGGTTGAGCATGATGTCATAGAACTGGCGGAAAGGGTAATCATGAGACCAGAGAACATCCCAGTGGCTAGCAGGGTCGCCTCTTGAGAACCCAAGGCGATCAAACACCGCCATAACATGTTTCAGGTATCCTGTTTCCAGTTTCTTTCCTGCTATCCAGACCACTGGTGATTTTTGGTGACTGGCCTCAGGCCCTGTGTTCATCCAAGAAGAAAAACAAGAAATCTGTTGTTAAGACTTGGCAAAAGAACACTTAACAAACTGCAGATCATACATGTAGTTGAGACCCTATTATCAAAAAGGTAAAATGTTTTGCAAAATCCATGAGCTACATTATGATATGCAAATCTTCATCTCATCAAAACAGCCAAATTTTCCAAATACCACAAAACACAACTCAAGGCTGCTGAGAGGGGGAGGCAGTTTTAACTGATTGTGACACCAGGCTCACACATTCAGCTTTGCCATATTTGCAATTTGGAAAGCATATCTACCAATAGTGAAACTTACGGCATCATGCTTAATCCATTATGTTCCATCATTCCCATGAGGATCAAGCATTAATTTTTAATTGAACAAATGTTACAATATGATTATAGTAGATGCTACTTATTTTTACCATTCTTGTTATCAGGAAGATAATGGAATCAACTGTTCAGAAGAGATTATCATGAATCATAACTTACTGAACTAGGAAAAAGAAGTAAATCTTTCTAGGAAATTTTGTCACACATAGGCTAGCTGGCCGTGAATAAATCTGATTATTCCAGTGGGTGCCTCTAGTGCTATGATGCTGCCTCAAGAGATCTCAGGTGTGTTCACTTAAATGACATTACATCATTCTGTGTGCTCTTGGCTGTAACTTTAGAACTGATAGACTAACTTTTACAAATGACATGCCATTATTTGCAGTAATAGTAACCCTTTTTATTCTAAAATTTTTACTAGCAAAGGTTATCAGCTTCCAGGAGAAATCTCCTTTGGAAAGCGCCATCCTGAATATTTTGCACCAGGAATTGATGAATGAGGTAACTTGCTAAAAAAAAAAATCGCCTTTACTTTTCTTGAAAATTGTTCTAGGAGTTAAAGAGAACTGTTCAGTACACATCTTAGTCATGCAGATTCAACAAGACCTATCATAAGAACCTTGTAACAACAGGCACAATTGGAAATTCCTAATCAGTACAATAACATGACTAACACCTTACCAAATGAGGGTTTTGGTTGATGGGAATTCAGGGACTGTCTCTGTAGTTTATGAAGCTCATAGATATTAAGAGCAGTGAGAAGAGCACCCACGAAGAGTACAATGGTAGCAATTTGGTAGAGTTTTGATGGAATCTGACACACTTGGATGCGAGGACCTTTGGGGTATGCACCACCTGATGCATCACCCTCCTCATCCCCCAAGAGGGGACGAGAATTCTTCCTCCTCCATGTTGAACCAAGCATGATGGGTTGATTTGGATAGACACTTTTCAATTTAAGAGAGAATCTAGAAAAAGGAACTTGTGTGATCAATGGGAATAATTGTGCAAGTTGTGCAAAAATAATTTAACTTATAAAAAAAAACACTATATGCCTAATAGGAGTTGCCTGACCACACAGCTATGGAGATCCATGCTATACTAGAATTTGCCAAGCAACTCTGATGCTGAAAACCTGCAAATCTACTTCTTACCACATTAACAGTTATGAGTAGAGAGAAAGCATGCAGGAACAAGCCTGATTTTACTCTTCACCAGACTGCCTTAAAAAAAATAACACTCGATTCCAACTAAATTTGTCTCTGGTTCATCATCCTATTGTCATGGTGTCTGCCCCAAGAAGGCCTGTGCTCTTGGTACTTACAAAAATTTACAAAATTATAGTATATTAATGCTAGTTGATTTCAAGTTTAAACTCTGGAAGTGTACATGGAACAGCCTGCTCAAAATCTCTAACCCTGCTTTATTCTCTGACTTGCCACTGCAGGAGAAGGTTTCCACCAGTTTTGACCAAGGAGGAGTCATTGGTCAATGATCTAAAGATGAAAATTAATGGATCTTTTCAAAGCATGAAAGAATTGGACACTGGAAGTTTGCAAGCTTTCCCAGTATTGACAATAGTGCATGCATAAGTTCTTTATAATGAGAGGTAGAGGGAGGTGCATGAGTGATTTTTCAATTCCCATTTCCTCATGATTGTGAAAGGAAAACCCTCACTTGCACACTTTCACAAATACTAGTAAATTCACCAGTATCACCATCATACACATCCATCACATGCAGCACTGGGGCATAGAAAAATAAAACAAAGCTTCATAGGCAAAGTATCAATAACTTCCCTTTCCCCATTCTTCCTCCCTCCTCAAGGATAAAAAAAAAATCTAACAATCACAACCATGACCTTGTGTCTCTTGTCACATTCATGAAAAGGGCCTTTTTAAATTCTTGCATGAGTTCCACATGTTTCTGAAGACCTAACAGTTGCTTCAGAACATCTCTTCTACTAATGATTTCCCTGTTTCATGGAGTCAGACTTCTATGATTTTAAATGAACATAAGACAGAAAGGCTGTTTCAACAAGCTCTTTTAGCCAATGTAATATTCTGCAAATTACTTTTTAAAAAATGTCAGGCATTATTTTCTGAATTCTAAGGCTGCACAAACATTTTGAAGAAAGAAAGACAGAATGAAGGCAAGTCATGCCTTCAAACAAACTCACTATTATATTATATTATATTTTTCATCAACTTGCTCATTAGACCTCACCTTTGTAAAAAAAAAAAAATAAATAATAAAAAAATTAATATATAAAAGTATGGGCCTGTAAGTGCATGTCGAGTAGGATATGCATAAAATAAGTCTTCATGAAACAAAGGATTTTCAGGAGCTTTACTCTGCAAATGAGTTTTGCTCTGAAAATGAAAACTTCATGCAGCCAATCAGTTCTGCAATCTGACAAGCTTATTTGGACTATTGCCTTTAAATATTGCCAATTGTTGCAGTGAACACATGATTCATTCAGAGACAGGAAAGAAGCCATGAAACAGCAAACTTTTTTATGTCACCCAGCCATAGCCATACTCATCCAAGTCCACAAGAAGTTACTGGACAATTGGTACCGCTTTTGCACTTCTAACATGGGCTGATAAAATAAGGGCAGCTGGGGATGAGGAAAGCACTCTTTCTACCTCACTCAGCAACCGCCCTTATAACTTGAAGCTCTCAAAAATGCGTTGAGTTTACCTGGAGCAAAACCTTTGACAATCCACTGAAGTTAGGCCTAGTAGATCTAAATTGCCCAACTGAAATAATGATTTATAATTGTCGCCAGACCAACACTTCCTCGCATTAATGATAGATCTTTAAACCGTGAAAACGCCACTTAGAGGGTGGCTTCAAGGGATTTGCATTTCACGACACCTTCACCTACTTCCTATGTGGCCAAAGTCTATTAAAGGCCTATGATCGACTAGGTCGAGGGTTGAGAGCCAATGGTAGGCCTTGAAATTCCTTTACAATAACCTACGATTGCAGCTTATGCATTCCCACTAAACCACAAGGGTCCCACACATTTTCACATCGCATCCAAAGATTGGCTAAACACCCGAGAATCAGAAGGTACTTGGGGAGTAAAACTCTTCTGCGGTAAAAGTGAGCGAGCAGAGGGTGCAAAAGGGTGTCGCAACCATAATTTAAATCAGGGGTGTCAAACTCAAATCGGTCGGCGGGCCGCATTCCTTATCCTGGAGATGCCTGCGGGCCGCACCTATACTTTTTCACCGAAATTTTTGTTAACAGTCAATCCAAGCGGAAATTTCAAGAACA